TTATATGTTACCACCAAACATAACACCTCGAAATATTAACCAATAAAACACAGATAGTGTTAGTGCATTATTAAATCCTTTTAATTATCGATCACTGTTAAGCACAAAGGTACACAAATGGGTACCGAAACCCGATTTTAGCGTTACATCGGGGAGGAGGGGAGGGCAAAGGAATGTATAGTTGGCTGTTTGGTTAGTTGTTTTTAGCGCAAGGCTAAACAGTGAGCTATCTGCGCTCTGTTTACCACGAGGAATCGAACCCCGTATTTTACCATTGTAAATCTGGAAACGTACCGCTGACCCACCGAGGATAGGAGCTTTAAATTAAAAACAAAAAAAAACGACATTTAAAAATATAAGCATTAGATGAACAGTTGATGTGGTCCCTGTCTCTTGATAAACAAACTGTTATGTACAAAAATTAACTTTACCACACGACTTTTGGTTAAAATATTAAAATAAGTTCAATGAACAACTTACCTACGACGTGATCCAAAATACTTCACTTGTTCGCTGACATTATATTTGAATACTCGCTCACGCGTGCTTAAAGATATCTGGTGGAAAATACAATATAGCCTAGTGAGCAACTAGAACACATCAGTTGATATTTTCAATGGTGGAATTCCATACTTTTGAACCCTACTCCCAGTGGGGCAGCTCTAAGTTTACGGGTTTACAATGCTAAGCTCCGGAGTGTGAATCTCCGTGGTGGACAGAGTACGGATTGCCCATTGTGTATCTTTTCGCTGAAACAACAAGAACAACAGTACTTTTAAACTAGAGAAGAAAGTATTGTATAATAGCTGGAGTACCCGTGCAAGGGACGGAAGCTATGTAAAGGACATGAAAAGTTGCTTTCCTTATACGAAATTGTAAAAAAATGTAAAAACCGAAAGTGTGTATGTATCTCTCCATATACCCAACAAATCTTCATACCAACTTCAGTGAAGATCTATCAACAGGGGGCGAAGTAGTGGTAAAAAACGCACATAAAAACCGCAAAATGCAAAACTGGAAATGTGTATGTAACCCCTCATGGGCCCAGTGAACCTCCATACAAGTTTTGATGAAGCTCCATCCACAACCCTGCGAAGTAGTTACATGGACACACAACAAACAGTACTATTATATCTATATAGATACAGATTTTAAAATACATCTTATATCAATGGTACAATAAGGTCTATGGACAACATTTTGATGTCGGTTTATGAACATTTAGACAGGACATTGCCTAATGGTTAGTGTGACCGGATTATGAATTCGAGGGTTCATGATTCGCGTCCCATTGCTGCAAAAACCCATTATGCACTTTGGAGCCGTTTGTGCGCTATTAGATTGACGGTCAAATCCCGCTATTCAGTAAGACAAGAGTAGCCCCAGAGTTGACGGTGTGTACAGTTAAGTAACTGCCTTCCCTCTTGTCTGTTTTTAGGAACTGCTATGCGCAGATAACCCTAATGTAACTTTGACGAAAATATCATGAATAGAATAGAATAGAATACACACCCTGAACTCAGACTCCGAAAACTTCTAATTCACGTTTTAACCGTGTTTACAGTGTTTTTACTGGAAAATGAACAGTGTTTTGACCTTAAAGTAAACAGTGGTTTTACTGTAAAGTAAATAGCGTTTTTCTAGCGAACAACGCTTTCTCAAGACATAGGGATATTTGATATTAAAACAAAACATACCCATTATAAACACAAGAAATGAGCTGGACATTACAGGGACAAAGATAACAAGAGATCTCTGATACCAGTACAATTTTCTGCAGGTTTCCAAGTATTTCCGTTACTGTCTTGTTGTTATATGCATGAGTATCTTTTTTTCCTCAATATCCCTTGTAGAGCATAATGTTCAATTTCCATGCTACAGAATATGCATATCATGATGACGTTGATAAAGTACGAAGCTCATAAAGAGTGTAATAGCACCTGACCTGGTTCGTTAGTAAGTTTTAAGTCAACCAAAATGAGATACGGCGCTAAAAAAAAGTGATTACACGTGAAGAAGTCTAGTGGCTAAATTTGACTTAAAGAAGTGCAGGTAATAAGTTTCGCCGCTATCTGGTTTCGTTTCGCCGCTATCTGGTTTCGTTTCGCCGCTATCTGGTTTCGTATTAAAGAAGTGCAGGTAATAAGTTTCGCCGCTATCTGGTTTCGTAATGTTTGGAGAACCAAGTTTTCTGCATGTTAACGATATATTTTCGTACACTATTTGAGTTGAACTGACAAGTAATACAAAAAACAGTAGAACCCGGTGCTGGCTGGCTTCAACAACAACAAAAAAGGTATTCAATTTGGAATTCCAAAAAAGGACCGGGACTGAATTCCTCTGAATACCGTCAGAATAAGACAATGAGTGTACTTTACTTAAAGTCGTCTAAGATGTCATAAAAAAACATGAAAATTCGTAGATTACGTTTCAATAAAGTTTACAACCGGTGAGGAATTTCATAAGACATAGCGTTTTAGTTAAAACACTGAAACTGGGGGGTTTAATAGTGCACAGTGCTTTAGTTAACACAACCAAACCGAGGAGTTTCATAGTACACAGTGCTTTAGTTAACACAACCAAACCGAGGAGTTTCATAGTACACAGTGCTTTAGTTAACACAACCAAACTGAAGGCTTTCTCAGTGCACAATGCTATAGTTAACACACACCCAAACTGAGGATTTTCATAGTGAACAGTGCTCTAGTTAACTCAAACAAACTGAGGAGTTTCATAGTGAACATTGCTTTAATTAACACAACCAAACTGAGAAGTTTTATAGTACACAGTGGCTTAGTTAACACTAGTGTTGAGTTGTGCCAGGATTTAGTGAGTTTCGAGTGAAACAAACTGAGGAGTTTCATAGTACACAGTGCGTTAGTTAACACAACCAAATTGAAGAGTTTCACAGTGCAAAGTGCTATAGTTAACACTAGTGTTGAGTTGTCCCGGGATTTAATGAGTTTCGAGTCAATGAACTTTCGGTTTATTATAGAGGGAAAGAGCACAAAAAGTGTGTTTAACATGTGGAAAGGCAGACTCATCGGCACTTGTTCCCTGAAGGCTTTAGATTTCAGAGAATATATTTTGTTACACAAGGGACTAATGAATAAGTAATTGACTAGATTGGAGTTTTTTTTTTTCATTTTAATGTAATTTTCCTTTATAAGAATGCAGTATTGGACAAGGAAATTAATTTTCATGTTGTTCTTTCATGACTCGACAACAATAGTTGCAGGTCTCGGACTTTCTTATAAATTTAGATTTGTCTTTAATTTTATATCCCCCCCTTGTTTTTCAACTTTGTCATTCTATAACAAACCTTTCAAACATGTTAACCCAATTTGTTTATCAAGTTTACAGGCAATCTGTTCACGTTTATTCTATTTCAATTTATCGTTCATTATTAAATTTGTATAATAAAGATTGATTAGTATTCTCAACTTAAAATTTGTTTTTAGAACTAACGTAAATCTTCTTAGCTGACCGAATCTATTATTGGGTTTACGGCCGAAAATATTGTTAACAGCGAGAGTACCCGAATGATGAAACAATGCATTCTAATCTTTATAAGTACAGGTATGTACGTAAGAAAATTATATTTAATTTAGCCATACTGATGGCCAGGTTAGTTTTTAGCTTGTTCTGATCGGATGTTATTATTATTATCTATAATATGTATGTATTAATTTATGTGTGTGTGTGTGTGTATATATATATATATAATAAAAAGACAAAATAAATAAATATAAAATAACAAAACATGATTATCCATGGCTTGTACTGTACTCAGATTCTGATTGTTCTTTAGTGGGAGTTATAATTTAGTTTATGTTTTATTTTAAACCAATTTTCGACACTGCTGATGGCTAGTGTCGAGTGTGTATGTGATGACCAAGTAGCACAAGTGATTTACACTAGCCTTATTAGCAATTGTGACTTAACCCACTCTTCAAGTTTGGGTGAATAAAAAAGTCTGGACAGGGAATTTGAATGAGAGAGTAACTGGGATAGTGACCGTGGCGCTATCTCTTGGGATGTGTCAACAGTTTTATACTTGCTAAAAGTGGCAAGTTCATAGCAAAGGTCAGCTTCCTCGAGGTTTTTGAGACCCGTTGTTCTCCAGAAACATAAATTTCAAGTGAAATTCTTCAAAATTTTGTTGTATCAGAGATGAAAAAAACAATTGCCTGTTATATCAAATTACCATGTCTCATAAGCACGATTTTTTATATAGCACAATGATGCTCTGTGACAGTTTACATCTACATGTGAGTTAAAAGTTAAATTAATAATTTTATTTAAATCTAAGTGTACCATGTCTTTTAAGTTACCCTCACTTTAACATTAGTGCATAACGTTTTTGTTAATGCCCTGGAATATTACATATGTCTACAAAAATAAATAAATATAATCATAATATGAAAACAAAAGTTTACCTATGAGAAGGCAAACTATTAACACAGTTATGTTTATGTCTTGATGTCTGACTGCAGGCGTAAATCGACTAAATGAATTAGACTCAAGTTGAATATTTCACGTGAATCAGAAATCATATGTTCTCGTATTAAGAATTGGAGTATTCAGTGCTAGCAGAAAACCTAATAGCATTTCCCTAATAAAACAAGATTTGAGTAGGTACTTATTCGGCTCAGTTCATATTGTGGTCTTTATACGTATCTTCTGAAAGCTGTAGTTTTTATGATACCGTACTCTGTAAACAATAATGTATAAATTAAGGTACCAATAAGAGCAAATTCTGTATAACGCTATCGGTTAAAAAGATCTTTTACGCGTTTTCTTACACACGTCGAGGGCAATTTTCTGTACAGAAAACTACAAAATTTCTACGCTTTGAGCGCAACTGGAGCGTGCCACACGCGTCCTTTGGCCTCGAGGCGATAGAGTAGTACGGTATATAATGGACAGCTAAACATTTATCGACTATTTCGTCTGCTGAGCAAAACAGTTCAAACCCTGCTAGGTGGCATAGTTTTTAAAAGAACGTATTTGTAATTTCTTTTATGTCAACTCGTGTTTGATATTTCAAGCTAAACATCTAGTAGTACCATATAACAGGCTACAGGTACGAACTTTTTATTTTATACCGTATTTAATTCAGCTAAAGATATTTCATATAAAATTATCTTCGGATTTTTGGCTTATAGAGAATCCACGTAAAAATGTTAATGAGTTATATTAAACATATATTTGAAATATTTTATATATTTTACTACCACTACATTACTTCTATTGTTATAAAAATATTTTTTTGGCCATAAAGTCGCTGAGATATAAAATATTAGTGTTGTTTTTTTTTTAATAATATATTATTCACTCTTAGTTTTAGAGTAAAAACAACATCTGATCATTTTAACAAGTTTTGAACAAGTTTAGAAAGTAATGTTTAGGATTTACAGGAAAGTCTAAATTCGTCGTTCCCGCTGTTCCTTCCTCATCAGTCTTTGACCATTTGTTATGTTAACTATTTCAGAATCCCTGTATGATGTGTTCTGTCAACTACTTCAGACCTTAAATTTGACTGTCCATTCTTTTATCTGTCTCTTTGTCATTATGTCAGAATTTATAGATATCAACTCCATACTATGTCTCAAATTTCTTTATTTTTGCGTTAATCTGAACTCTGACTTACACAAAGCAAGTAAAAACAAAAACAGAACAAGGTTAACAATCAACTTCTTAAAAATGTTATATTTAGAATAAGTAAATTATCTAACATTTCAGTTGAAACACAAAATAGAGTTGTTTAGATCCAAATTACGTGTTGTAGAAATCAGGATCAATTTCTTATTTTATGCTCTTTTTAATGCTCAAGATATACAACAGTGCTGAAATATATGCTATGAAATATGGATTGAGAAATAGAGAAAAGTTCCCGGTTTCTGAAGTAGATGATAGAACACCTGATACAAGGATTAAGGTCTGAAGTAGTTGACAGAACACATTGTATAGGGATTAATGTCTGAATTAGATAACAGGACATATGGTACAGGGATTAATATCTGAACTAGATGACAGAACACTTGATACAGGGATTAGTGTCTGAGTTAGATGACAGGACACATGGTATAGGGATTAATATTTGAATTAGATGACAAGACATAAGGAACAGGGATTAATATCTGAATTAGATGACAGAACACGTGATACAGGGTTAATGTCTGAAGTAGATAACAGGACACATGATACAGGGATTAATATCTGAATTAGATGACAGGACATATGGTACAGGGATTAATATCTGTATTAGATGACAGGACACATGATATAGAGATTAATATCTGAACTAGATGACAGGACACATGATACAGGGATTAATATCTGAATTAGATGACAGGACATATGGTACAGGGATTAATATCTGTATTAGATGACAGGACACATGATACAGGGATTAATATCTGAAGTAGATGACAGGACATATGGTACAGGGATTAATATCTGAATTAGATGACAGAACATGTGTTATAGGAATTAACGTCTGAATTAGATAACAAAACACATGGTCCCACACTAATGCTATTTATCTTAAAAGGACGAAGTCTCATTCAGGATTCTTTTGAAATTTACTTTTGACTTAGGTTTCGGAAAACTCTCATTCTTAAATTCTCTTTGACCTGTCTTTACCAAAATCAAGTCGTCTGACTTGAATTGATAATTAAATTTATCACAGAATGTAGACGCTTCTCAAAAAGCTTTATAAAATTCACAAACACAACATGTAAACCAATGAATAACTGTGTGGGGGTGGGGGTAAAACTTTAATTGAAATATTGTTGAAATAATTGTTTATGTATGCTTTTTCGCTTTTTCTTTTGCAAAAGAAACACTATGCACAAAAATACTGTAAACTTAGTTGCTTTTCATAGGTCTTATAGTAAAAATATTAATGTTTGTGTGCCTGTTATTTTTAAAATATTCCAGCACATTATATTCTAAATAGATGGCGCTAGTAAACAATGGTTATACTTCTAATGATTTATATAAAAAAACTTTTGCTTAAATGAAAGATTATACATTTAACTTTTGTGTGTGTGTGTCTCTTTGCCCATTGCTTTACAGTTCACGATGTTTGGACTATATATTATTAACGGTGTGTCACTGCTTAGTCACAAAAAGGTCTAAAGATTAGTAATGATCTTACGCCTAAAGAAAAATAACATCTGTTGCCCTACAATTTCTTCGTAGCAATGGCCCATTACGTAATTCTGTGAAATAAGTAAATCTCAACTGAATTACAACTGTAGATTCTGGTGAACTCTACATTGGTAGGGGATCATTTATGAAGTTGTTGTGATATTAATTTGTTGTTTTTAATATTAATTATCCTTTGAAAGGCATGCCTGGTAGAAGTTATCACAGTTTAAAACGACAAAATTAAGCTTAATAATAAGTACGTGTTTTTACATTTCTTGTCCTTCTAAACTTAATCGAATTTCAATTTCATTTCATGTTTTTCTAATTTTTTTGCGATATTGCCAAAAAAAAATCTTACAAATGAAAGGAAATCTATATTTTCTATGTTGTTTGTGTACAGACTGAATTGATCCGGATGTAAGAGTATGAACTAGAAAGCGCAGAACAATGAAGGTTACCTGGGTTAGTGCCCTATTTTTAGCTGCTATTTCAGGTAAGTAGAACTCATTTCTATGTAATCAGAAGTCAAAATCCTGAGACATAATAAATGATGTTAACACGCCATCTGGTTGTAAAACATCTGAGAACAGGCCCACTGAACCTACAATATTATGACCTAATTACAAATATCAATAATATATATACAATCGTAATACAAAATTGATGCTCGCATGCATACTCAATAGATGTTTTTTAGTCACAACGGTACTAATTGTAATTGAATGTCGCTTTCCTTTGTGAGAGAGATATATACATTTGTTTTGTATCAAAAATATCAACGGTGTCTGTAAGTAAGTATTTCACATATGCACATTCCTACAAAGTAATTCTCAACTAAATGTAATCGGTAATACATAATTCACGTACTACAAAAACTAGTAATAGGTAACTAACGTACATCAGGGACAACACTGTAACCGGTAATAAGTAACTATCGTACTATAGGGACAACACTATAATCGATAATAAGTAATTCACATACCCTCACATACCGTAGGGGCGACATTTTAATCCGTAATAAGTAATTCACCTAGTGTAGGGACAACACTGTAATCGGTAACATATAACCAACATAATCAGGGACAACAATGTAACCGGTAATAAGTAACTATCGTACTATAGGGACAACACTATAATCGATAATAAGTAATTCACATACCGTAGGGGCGACATTTTAATCCGTAATAAGTAATTCACATAGTGTAGGGACAACACTGTAATCGGTAACATATAAGCAACATAATCAGGGACAACAATGTAATCGATAACAAGTAACTCACACGGTGTTGGGATGACACTGTAATCGGTAATAAGTAACTCACATAGTGTAGGGACAACACTGTAATCGGTAACATATAACCAACATAATCAGGGACAACAATGTAATCGATAACAAGTAACTCACACGGTGTTGGGATGACACTGTAATCGGTAATAAGTAACTCACATACTGTATTGACAACACTGCAATCGGTAATAAATAATTAACATACATCAGGGACAACACTTTAATTGGTAACAAGTAACCCACATATTGTAGGGACAACATTGTAATCGGTAACAAATTAAGTAGCTCATACTGTAGGGACAACATTGTAATAGCTTATAAGCAACTACCGATTAAGGTTTAGTTGTTGTTAAACGCAAAGCTGCACAATGAGCTATCTGTACTCTGCCCACCACGGGTATCGAAACTCGAATTTTAGAAGAGTAAGCCTACAGACTTACGGCTGAGCTACTAAGGGGCACCAATTCAGGAACAGCACTAAAGGAAACAACTCAGACTTATAGCAAGTTTAATATTTATTGTATAAAGCATGTTCTTATATTTCCAAGATAGCCAACTGTATTATTGTTATCTAAATATATAAATTAAAAAGTAGTAGTTCAAAGAGTTTAAAGTTAAGCCTATAATTTTATTTTCTTACCAATTTCCGGTATGATATATCTTTACATCGCAATGTCTAGTTTTCACTTCCTTTAGATACAATAATATTTATAACTATTTATACTGGGGGAATGTGTAGATTTCAACGTATATGTTTATATGCCTGTTAGTATAAATCTATATAATTTATTCATACAGTCAGGTGACAGAGTACACTTATGTCCGACTTGTTATCTTATATTAGACTTCAAAATAGTTTCTTTACACGTGTGTCTGTTTATTTATTCAAGACTTAACAGTATTGGTCAGCGCCGACTTGTGACTCTTTAGAGGTGGATTACAATTTCCTAATCGTATTAGCTAAGCTATTTCGTTATTAGATTATTTTGAGTTCTTAATTTAACACCAAATCTCTATAAAAGTTGAACCTCCACTAAAATTATTTCATGCTAACATTATAATCGTTTACACAATTAAAATTAATTCACAGGGTTTAATATAAATATTTCTTGTTTTCAACGTTAACCAACTGAGGCTAATCTCCACAGTCACCAGGTGGAGGAATGTTACATATACACGCCTGTTTCCGTTTAGTTATTTTTAGAAGCAATAGTTTATGGCAAGTTTGTTTACGTAACTGTGTACGAATCATACGCTGTGTAGTTCAATTATTATGACTTGGCGCTTGTTGTATTATTGCGTCACGTTACAGGAAGCAGCTTCTAAGATCTCTCGTTGTTTCCATTGAATATTATTGCATCATTATATCGCTTAACGTTCTAGGTCTCTGTCAATCTATAAATACGCGTACAAAATGTAGTTCAAGTAAGATAGACAATTAGTTAGATAGATAGCTAGAGCTAGATTATGTGTTTATGAGTTTAGCCATAAGAGCATATAGCGGCGATTTCTAAAGTGAAATTATCGTAGATTGTATTGTAACAACAAAGTAAAGAAGAAGAGTTTGTTTTATCAATCGTATTCTAAAGTAATTGAACAAAGCTGTGTGGCCTTTTGATGAAAAACGACAATTGTTTAAAGCTATGTAGTAACCAATAGTGTAACGTAATGAAATTATCACTGATTGTATTGTAACAACTTTTAATTACACAGTTAATCATCACAGTTGTATCCAATCTTTAAATAATCGTCTCTTTTCGTCAAAGTCCACACAAGCTAGTTCAGTTACTTAGAGCACAACTGACAAGAATTGTTCTCCTCTGCTTTTTTGTATATACGTTTGACTTGTTTAAGTATATATTGTTTTACAACAAGTGGACTATGTTGCTGTTTATTTATTGTTGAAATTTATCACTAACAAATCACAGACACCTACTGTGAAGAATCCTGCTCAATCATACATACACGGTCTGGCATGGTCAGATGGTTAAGATGCTTGACTAGCAATCTAAGGACACGGGTACGAATCCCCATTCCACCAAAGATGCTCGCCCTTTCAGCCGTGGGGGCATTATAATGTGACAGGCATTCCCACTATTCGTAGGTAAAAGAGTAGCCCAAGAGTTAGCAGTGATGACTAGCTGCCTTTTTTCAAGTCTTTCACTGCTAAATTAGAGACGGCTAGCCCAGATAGCCCTCGTGTAGTTTTGCGCGAAATTTAAAATAAACCATACATACATATCAAATCTGACAAGGAAACTGAACTGAAAAAGATTCAATATAACCGTTATCTAGGTTGCCCGTCTTTACCAACCCAGCAACAGAGCTTCTTTCACCGAGAACACACTGTCACCCCTTTTATACCTCAAAAAGCTGTGGAAACGTATTAAACGAATATGACTGATACCATCTAGAATATACTTTGGTTTACTTGTAAAAATAATAAGAGAAGTGTGTCATTACGAAACTGTGTTTTAGATCTACACATTAATTATTTTTTCTTTACGTAGAGATTGGATTTTGAGTTGCTAAAATGTTTGCATAATCTATAATAATAATCCACTTACTAAAATCGTAATTTGTATTGAGACTAAAGAATTTAATATTTGTTTTATGCACAGGATTTTTCTTCCTATTTTAATAAAATTATGCATAGAAAGAACGTTAAAAAAGTTACGAATGAAACATCGCGTGTACTTATTTTTCGAGGTTCATTGATTCTCTGTAACTTATTATAGCTTCTTTCTTTCTTTTTTTTCTCTAGCAACTGTTGAAGATCACAGTTGGACAACAAAGTGGAAAACTGACGTCCACGTTCTGGTAAGACAGATTCTTGTAGACGTACAGTAAGTTATGGACAAGTTTATATTATTGTCCCATGTATTAGACGTTACAAGAAGATACAAACAAGTGTATGTTGGTGTCTCATGTAGCAGACGTTACAAGAAGACACAGACAGGTGTATATTGGTGTCTCATGTAGTAGACGTTACAACAAGATACAGACAGGTGTATATTGGTGTCTCATGTGGCAGATGTTACATCAAGGTACAGACAGGTGTATATTGATGCCCCATGTAGTAAACATTACAACAAAGTAAAGACAGGGTTGTACTGATGCCCCATGTGGTACACATTACAACAAGGTACAGACAGGTATATATTGATATCCCATGTAGTAGACGTTACAACAAGATACAAACAAATGTATGTTGTTGTCCCATGTAGTAGACGTTACAATAAGGTATAAACAGTTACATATTGATGACTCATGACTTTAAACATGAAATTGAATGTCACGTGATAACCATAAAATGGTACTAAGTCGAGTTATTTGACGTTCAACCTATCGTTTGATATCTGCTTTTGTCCTGGTGATAAAAAATAACGAAACTTGATTACGTTTGTATTTTTTTATACACAGCAACAAATAAAGAAGGTAATTTGTCGAAGTAATTGTTCTGAACTGGAATATTACCGTATATCAAGCAGAACTGTGTTTCCTGTATTGTTGAAAATCATGGTTCTGTAGAATGAGTTTACACTCCTGGAGGGTGGCTACATATACCACGCATATACTGTATATGTACTGTTTCACAGTCGTGGAAGGTGACTGTATAGGCTGCACTTATATCTATCTAATTATATATATATACTGTTTTACAGTCGTGGAAGGTGACTGTATAGGCTGCACTTATATCTATCTAATTATATATATATATACTGTTTTACAGTCGTGGAAGGTGACTGTATAGGCTGCACTTATATCTATCTAATTATATATATACTGTTTTACAGTCGTGGAAGGTGACTGTATAGGCTGCACTTATATCTATCTAATTATATATATATATACTGTTTTACAGTCGTGGAAGGTGACTGTATAGGCTGCACTTATATCTATCTAACTATATATATATATACTGTTTTACAGTCGTGGAAGGTGACTGTATAGGCTGCACTTATATCTATCTAACTATATATATATATACTGTTTTACAGTCGTGGAAGG